AGCAGTTCGGTGTTCGGGCAGAGTGCGCCTGCGTTTGGGGCGAGCACGACGCCTGCCTTCGGGAGCACAGCGACGGCATCACCATTCGGTGCGCAATGAAGTGGTGTTGTGGGGAATGCAGTGATGAGTGCAGTTGCAGTGGGCGTGTGTGAGTCGTTGTGAGCGGATGTGACGTGGACTGGAATAGGTTTTTTTTGAGGTAGTTGTATATGAGGGAAGGTGACGACAGTGTCTGGTTGTGGAGTTGGAGCAATAAGATGACGTTGTTTTTGGTGAAGAGCAGGGGCTTCCTCTGGGAGTGCATTTGGAAGCAGCTTCGGGGCATCGAGTTTTGGAGGTGGGCAGCAGCAGCAGCAGCAGCAGCAACAGCAGCGTGTGGGAAGCAGAGTGGCAGCGTACGCTGTGACCCCTGATGCGGACTCCGGGGTTGGGGCGAATGCCGGGAAGTTTTTGTGTATATCTGCTATGCCGGCTTACAAAGAGAAGCAGCTAGAGGAATTGAGGTGGGAGGATTATCAAGCAGGCGATAAAGGTGAGTGGTGGATCGTGTTTGAGTTTGGGCCTTGTCTTTGTTGTGGAGGCGTATTGAGAACCGTAACGAAGGTGAGGGATGTGGGTGTCTTCTGAACGCGTTTGAGGTGGGGGAGTCGGGTACGGTTGTAGGCAGACGATCTGTATGTGTACTGGTTTGTTGATTTGTTGGTTGGTGTGGCGGGGTGGCCCCGGGATTGATGGGTGGGCGTTGTTGTGTTGGTTTGATAGGCGGGCCGAACCCAGCTAGCCCCCAGCCTGCTGCTGGAGGCATCTTTGGTCAACCAGCACTGCAGACTCCAGCGGCATCTAGCCCGTTTGGGGCTGCGGCGACGCCGACGACCTTCGGGGCTGCCGCCACCCCTAATCCGTTCGCATCAACTTCCACGGCGAATCCGTTTGGCGCGAAACCGGCGTTTGGAAGTCCCAGCACCCCCACTCCTGCGTTTGGGCAAGCTTCAACGCCTGCATTTGGGCAGACTTCAGCGCCAGCATTCGGCACAAGCACGTTCGGTTCGAGCACGCCTGCTTTTGGAGCGGCGTCGACGCCAGCATTCGGGCAGGCGAGCTCGACCCCAGCATTTGGGTCGTCGCCATCTCCGTTTGGGCAGACATCGGCACCTGCGTTCGGGAGCACAACCTTCGGAGCATCATCATCATCTTCATTGTTCGGGCAGAGCAGTCCCGCATTTGGGGCATCTTCACCTGCATTTGGAGCGGCGTCCAGCCCGGCGTTCGGTGCGCAGACATCGTCCGCATTCGGAGGGGGCGGGTTGTTTGGGAGCAGTCAGCCAGCGAGCAGCGGAGGGTTGTTTGGAGCATCCACTCCTGCGGCTCAGCCGTTTGGGGCAAGTTCTGCTCCGGCGTTTGGGCAAAGTCAGGCAGCATTCGGGTCCAACTTGTTTGGCAACAACACAAGCAGCCCAGGTTCCTTGTTTGGTCAAACAAAGGCGGCGGGGTTGACACAGTCCTCGGTGTGTTTTCGTGATGCCTCGTTTGGTGAAAGTTGTGAGTTTGTTATCACGGTGGCGAGGTTTGTCATGTTACACGTTTAGGTTATGGAGGGTGGGTACGGAAGTGGGCAGTGCAGTGTTGGTGTTTGGCATGTTTGGTGGGTATGGATATTTGTGTGTGTGTGTGTGGTTTTTGGTGGTGTTGGCGTGGGAATGCGGGATGCCCTAAGCTGGTGCTGCCGTTAATTTGGTCTCGGTACCGTATTGAGCAGCAGCCGGTTGTTGGGAGTGTGTTGGGAGTTTGTGCAGAGCTTAGTGTTGTGATGGGGCACTCTTGATTGAAGCCATGAGTAGTTGATTGTGTGTTGTGAGTACGTCCTATCGTGCTAGCGGTTGCTTGGCTGTGCGAGTATGCGGTGGAGTGGTCATCGTCGTGTTTTTTCATAGCTGGAGTCACCTATGCCGTGGAGGTGTGGGCTCCATTCTATTTCGCACATGAATTTTGCAAACACAGTGATGATGGTGTCGTCTAAGGCATTTGTGGCTTGGTTGGATTGCAGTCATCGTCTTTGTTCAGTGGGTTTGGTGCAGCTTCTACCGGACAAACTCCTAGTACATTTAGCTTCCCAAGCTTGCAAACCCCGCAGCAAGGTAAGAGTCGCATAAGTTCAGGACTTGTGCATGGAGCATGTTTGGGATGCCATGAAGGTTTGCGTACAATCTTGGAGCGGTTTTTGTTCTGCAACTCCCAGGGCCACTTAATAAACTGCCAAGCAGAGTCAGCAAACTGTTGAATGTTCAGTTCTTTGCGGCGTGGTTTGGTTGAACCGTACCTTGGGACTTTGGCGCAGCGACGTCGGGCGAGCGTGCTGATGTCTACTCGTTTTGCGATGTGTTTACGTGTTTGAGTTTCGGGCAGGGGGCAGTTACTGTTGTTGTGGGCAGGGGGCACTTTTCTGCATGAGTTGGTTCAAGATGGTTCACACGATGATCTGTGGTGTGTGATGCCTGTTTGGGTGCAGGGGCGACCAACACCTTTGGCGGTACCCCGCCCGCATTTGGTCAGCAGAATACATTCGGGCAACAGCAGTACGTGATATATATGTTTGTTTGGTTGGTTTGATGCTTGGTTGAGTTGGTCGAAGGGTTCAATTGCAGCTGATGTTGTGGTCGCGATTCAAAGTGTGTGGAAGTCCTGTCTTGGTGCCTGGTTCGTGTGACGCCCGCACCCAGCTGCGGAGGTGTAGAAACGAATGTTGGATTCCGGAGCAGGCACGGGAATGGGCTTTGTTTTTTTGGTGGTTGGGAGGCTGACGTTTTTAGACGCCGTGTGTTGCAGAGCTACTCAAAACGTTATCTCGGCCACAGCTAGCCCGGTAACCAATCCCTTTGGGACACTACCTGCCATGCCCCAGATAACAATCGGCCGAAGCGCCGGTTCTGGTCCGTCTGTCCAGTATGGGATATCGAGTATGCCGGTACGTTGGGACTTTCAGATTTTGGTGCACAAGCAGTGGTTTTTGTGATTGGAAAAGAGAACGATGGGGGGAGGAAAAGAGGCTTTTGAATCATGTTTTGGGGGGAAGAATTGGAATGAGTGAGTGTGCAGTGCTGTGGTGAGTATTGCGCGGTGGGAGGTTTTGGTGAGACGGAGGGTATTGTGTGCGCGCAGGTAGCCGAGAAACCGACTCAAGTGCGTGTGAACACATTGTTGACTCCCCGGCATATCACGCAGCGGTCAAAGGTGCGCATGCACGCACGACGCTACCATCCTAAGAAGGATAGCCCAAAGGTAAGACGATGCGGAGTTGATTACCATGAACGAGGAGCTTGCGTGGGTATTGAAAGGTTTGTCATGGATGTGGGATGCAAGTGTGGAGTGATGAGGCAGAGTGCGTGAGTCGTTTTAGGTGGTATGTAGATGGGACCCTAGCAAGGTTTGGATGTAAGATGATACACGGTGTGTAGGTGATTGCGAAAGGTGACTCCCACATGTGTCGACAAGTTGGTCACTTATGTGTTACGTACGACGTCGTTTGATTCTCCGTTGTCAAGTGAAATGGGAGGTTTGTTGCGTGCGAAGTCGGGTCTCTGATGTTGGGGCGAGGTGGTGGTCGTATGGCATTTGCAGGTGTCGTTCTTCAGTGATGGTGACGAAGCCCCCTCAACCCCGAAAGCAGATGTGATGTTTGTTCCTCGAGAGAATCCGCGTTCTCTGTTCATTCGACAGCCGGAATCGTCTCCTGCGATTCCATCTGCGGCGAAGGACGCAGTGGATGTTGGAGAGATAGCCACACCCGTGCAGAAGGATGGTACGGCTCTGACCATAGTGGATTCTGCAGTGAACCGCGGGGAGGCTTTGGCTGGTTGGGAACTCGACAGTGCTTCGGGTGATGTTTGGAATTTGCATAGGCACAGGCAGAGGCATAGGCATAAGCTTAGGTGTGGTAAAGGAGAGTGGAAAGTGAGTCACTTATGGAGGCCGTTTTGTTGTCGGGTTGGCAGGCTCCCAGGATGAAATGAGGAACGAAGTGGGTGGCGATCCTGTTCCGTTTTCGTTTCCTGAAAGTAAGCCGCAGTGGCGTGTTTTTGTGGGGCTTTCCTGTAGTGCAATGCCGTGTTGCGGGTCCGGTTAGAAGGGGCGAGCACGTTTTTCCCGGGTTTGTTATTTGCTGAGGTGGTAGATGCACTGTGTGGCGTACTGAATCTACCGTTTCCAGGTCCACACAATAACTGGAGAAGCCCAGACGGCGTGAATGGGAATGGATTCGTGGGAACTCCAGCAGCATCTCAGGCGAAGGCCAGTGAGAGAGGGGCCTCGAAACAGGTGTCGAAAAGCAACGGGTTGCGGGAGGAGCACAGTCACAGAGGAAATGGCTACATTTCGATCACTGGTAAGCGGATGGTGGCGTCTGGAGTTGGAATGGATTGTGAAGGTGATCGGTGTATGTTGGTGTGGATTCGTGGAGTGGGAGGAGTGGAAGTTTGGGTGATGAGTGGATGGTGATACATTGGTGCAGGTCATCGTGCCGGTGAAGCTGCAATCGCGTACGAGCACGGTGCGGACATAGAAGCTTTGATGCCGAAGTTACGGCACTCGGACTATTTCACGGATCCAAAGGTGCAGGAGCTGGCGGCGCTGGAGCGTGCGGATATTGGGTATTGTCGCAGAGTGAAGGACTTCGTTGTTGGGCGTAAGGTAAAGACAGCATGCGTTGAGTTGGTGGAGAGAGTGTGAAGTATGCGTGAGATGTTATGCCTGGGTGAAGGTGGGTGAGGGGTGCGTGTGAGGAGGCGAGTTGGTGTGGAGTGAGGGGTTGGGCTGGAGCAAGTGGAAGATGCGGTTTGACGTGATCTGGCATGCAGGGTTACGGGGAGATAAAGTTTTTGGGCGAGACGGATGTGCGACGCCTGGATCTGGAGAACATAGTGCAGTTCAACAAGTGCGAGGTGCTGGTGTACATGGACGAGACGAAGAAGCCGCCGGTAGGGCAAGGCTTGAACAAGGCAGCGGAGGTGACGTTGCTGAACGTGAAATGCATAGACAAGAAGACGGGGCAGCATTACGTCGAGGGAGTGGAGGTGGAGAAGTTTCAGAAGCGGTTGAGGAAGAAGACAGAGGAGCAGGGGGCAGAGTTCTTAGGGTACGATGGGGCGAAGGGAGAGTGGAGGTTTCGAGTGAAGCATTTCAGTCGATATGGACTGGACTTTGAGTCGGACGAGGAGGATGGGGCCGAAGGGCCAGGAGAGGGCGCCATTGTGGTTGCAGGTAGGGGCAGGGCGGCATTTTCTCTTTTCGGTTGTTTTGTGAAAGCGAGGTCTTGGCTTGGTACTCGCAGCGTGGAGCCAAGAGTCGTGGACGGGGTTGGATGCAGGGTGTTGGGATTTAGCGTGGATGCGGGAAATGGTTGGTTTGGTTGGGGTGTTGAGATACTGGTGTAGCTGACGTGTGTGAGGCATGTTGGGCGGTGGTGGGTCAGGAACGTACGACATGGAGGGTGTTGAGCAAGGTGTGATGCACGATGCGGATGATTCCATGTTTGAATCTCCTATGAAGAATTTTGATGCGATTCCGGAACCTGGAGTGGGCATGGAGGATGAGGTCGGGGACGACCTGATTGATGCGTCCTATTTCACGGCTCCACAGGCAGCACTTCCGCACTCCCTGCCCGCACACCTTCACCTTGATCCCGTGAAAATGCAACAAATGCGAGCCCTTTTCTTTGCCGAAGGTGGTTTCCAGTTTATGGATTGGAGATTTGTGTAGAAGTTTCAGGGATGGCGCTGTGTTTTGTTGTTCGGTTTGTGATGGTGACATGTTGAGTTGGGTTCTCTGTCAGGCTTGTGTGTGCGTGGGGTGTAATGCCTGGAGGTTTTATTTATTTATTTGTTTGTTTATGTTATGTTTCGCTAGCGGTTGCGGGTCTGAGCCCTTTGAACGAGTTTGCTGGGGAGTTGTGGCGGGGGTGAATGGTTTTGGTTGTCCGCTTTGGTAGTGAAGTGTATAGTTTTTGGAATGTCAGGTGAGGAGGCGGAAGATATCGCACCACCCGGGGCTTACGGGCGCTGGCAGTCACGTCCTCCAGCGCCATCTCCCGCCGGTATGAGCTCGGGCGTGCATGGTAGTCAGTCGTTCAAAACACCTCAGAAAGTTGGCGTTGGTGAAGATGTGGACGGGCGTCCAGCTTGGCCGACAACGGTCATCTCCTGGAAGGGAACCCCTGCGAAGCAGATGCGAGTTTCG